GACGTAAATATTTTGATTAACCGATCTAAGGAGTGGCTGATGACTATCAACGCGGCAAAGTGTGTCTAAATGCCCTTTGGGGATACAAAAATAAAAAGGTATGGCATAGAGTAAGGGCCTATACTCGTAGTCCGGCCTCACAATGATCTTGGGTTGACAGTGAGTCATGATCTTAAGACAACAGCCCACTGCCGTGAGGTCGCAGGCAAGTGGTTTAGAACCCTGTAGGCTTTAAGACGAACATTCACGAAGTTAGATACTGCCATATTCACTACACTATACACAATCTTAGGCTGCAGACCCTTGTTTTTAAAAGGTGACTCATATATCTTGGAAAAAGTACAGAGGGCAGCTTAAATTAAATTGAATTTAAAAGAATAAAGTTTGCTCGTCCTTCCCTGGCTGTTTGAAAGCTGATCACTGACTCTCACATACAAATGTCCAACGCTTAAAACTAAAAGCTTTTTGTTGACGTCAAAAATATCGTTCTTCTGTCAGTATCGGCAAAAACAATTTCAAGTATCTACAATTAATAGCAGCGAGTTATTACGTTTAGATAATAGTTATGAAGTGTAGGAAAGTAATTTCGGAATTTCCGTAAACTAAACTTACAGTTCTGTAAAGACGATCAGCTAATTGTGTTAAGCCCACACACAGTTCCTCGTCGAAACCTTTAAAACAATTTAGCCCAGTTCCCACGGCAGTTCCACCAACAGCTAAATAACAAATCAACGGTAATTGTGATTTAATTGAATCCACTGCCTGCTGGAGTTGACTCACGTATCCACTCAATTCTTGTCCAACGCTCATTGGAACAGCATCCTAAACTAAATATATAACATTTTGAGGATATTACCTGCATATGGGTCCTTCCAATTTTGATAACATCCATAAATTCATGCATCTTACTTTTGAGTACGTTTATGAGGTGATTCAAAGATGGAAGAACCTTCCATGCAGTTTCCATTGCAATACTCAGATTCATGGCAGTGGGAAAAATATCATTTGAACTCTTAAACAGACAGTATATGATAAAGATGACCGAACCTGTCCAAGATTAACATGATCGTTGGGATGAACAGTCAGTTTAGAACTGCGTGAACCTTCAATCAGTTCGCTAGCTCTACTCGAAAGAACTTCATTGACGTTCATATTAGTCTGAGTACCAGAACCAGTTTGCCAAATAACGAGAGGGAACTCATTGTCATGCTGTCCATTGTATACTTCGCGACAGGCCTTTACAATGGCGTCTGAGATTTTGGAACTTATTCTCCCGAATTTGAAGTTTGTACAAGCAGCAACTTCTTTGATCATAGCTAGAGAATAGACTATTTGCAGCTGAGAAAGTCATTAAAATAGACATGTACTTACTGGCATTGTGTCGGATCTTGTGCAGATATTAAAGTTCTCCAGAGATCTAGCAGTTTGTGCGCCATAGTAGCGTTCTAAAGGAACCTTGATGCATCCTAAGCTATCCTCAACAACTCGTAAACGTTGTGAATCCGTTCCAATCATGCGTTAGTCGATAACTGCAAAGTGTGTTTGAATTTTTTGAACAATTTTAATCTTGTAAAACAAACTTTGGACTGCAATGCGACAGTGTATTACACGAGGAATCATGAATAATAGATAATAGTAGAAGAGATGTAAAATGTTATGTTGTAGCATAATTTGGAACCTTCATGTGTCTAATTGAAAACATGGGATTACCGTTCGAAATTGGTTCAGTGCCTTCGTGATTAAAAGTTGCTTGGAGGCAAAATTCCGGTTGTGTAGAATATTTTTGTGCACACTATCACTAAAAGTAAGCGCGCTGCTAGTGTGTCATAGTTTAGTGAATTATAAAGTTCTCATTACATATGATCGCTTCATACTTGTCATCCGAATGGGAAACATGAAATTCGTTTAGTTTACTTCCCGATTCCTTTATATTCGGAAGATTGATTCTCGGACTTCACTTTTAGTTTTTTGTGTTCTATGTATTCTGATTCGTTTTCTCTTCTTATCCTCGGGACATCTAGATGCCTAATTCATATTAATCATTAATTACACATTTTAAATGATAGTTACTCATTATTTAGGGATTTCAGTCAACGTTCATGGAAGTATTGTTACTTATTATTTATTTTGAGGATTGAGGGAAACTGTTTTTTTGCACCGGAAAATACACAACTTTGTTCGAGAATCTCATCAAGGTTACAGCGGAAAACATACACTTACTTAAAAGCTACCTTTTAAATTGAGTCGATTCTTTTTCGGAAATGTTATCATACGAACAAGCTATGGTACCCACATACTAATCGTGGAATCTTGAAACATCAGGTCTGTTGTGCCAACGCGCTAGTACCATTTATTTCAGCGTGTAGGCTTAACACGCTTAAATGACCACTGGTTAATTGAAGCTATAGGGAATTAGTTATACCTTTTTATTGTACATCGAGAATTTTTCACAGTTTTCAAAGTGTCAGTGTTTTTCGAACAAATCCTTCATTAAAAAAATTCCATGGTTTTTAGGAAGCTGGTACTACCCTGGTGTTATTTCCTCAGTCAGTCACAACTTAGAATCTCATACATATGTGCATTAGTACAGAGAGATGAAATCGTATGGCCAAATCTCAAAATACTACAGGAATTAACAGTATGAGTGGTGAATGAAAGGATTAGTCATTCGAATTCGAGAAAATGTGAACCAGTGGAATAATAACCCAAAAGAAGTAATGAAGAACTCAGAAGCTCAGATTTTCACGGGAAACAGAATAGATGAAACCTACACCATTGTGAACGGTTCTGAACTATATCATTCAGTCCCTAATCATTGATTACGTTAATCACACGTACCCCAACTAAGTAGTCTACACCTATTGACATGACAGTCCAACTTCCAGCGACTTTATAGAATAGTGCCATTTTTTTGGTTTGGCCACCTCTAGCTTTCTTATAGCCTGCTTTTACATTAGACATCTATCATTGAGGTAGGCAGTGGTTCTCAATACGTAGCGCATCTTCCAACCATCTAAATCGATGGAGATCAACTCGTCAATTGAATTATCATCCTTACCTAGTTCCCCACTCCTAACTCAGGCATTGCTTAGTCCGTAGTCCTTAAATACATATGCAATGCTTCAAGTACACCTTTGACCGTATACTAGTAATTTGCGAAAATCCTATGTTGTTAATGACCATGTTTCACACCTAAAAAATAGAACACAGTAAACTCGTCCAGCCAATGTACGAGTTTCTGGTGTTATTCAACAGCAATGGGATGTTCTTTTGTCACATATTAGTACTCCTAATGGCTTTCTTAAGACTGTGATATATTTAATGCCGAGGAGAGTAAAACAAAGGGCTCTATCATACCGTAAACTTTATAAAACATTCAGCCAACACGTTGCTCTTTCGAGCCAAAACAATTTTCCTTTGTGTAGATGATTTTAGTTGCCAGCTCATACTACGATATCTCTTGACTTTTTAATGAATTCTCAATTGCATATATATAATGCCTCGAGAAAAAATGCAGTAGTGTTTGATGAATAAGGTCATGCACCATGGGTTTCTTTGGTGTCTTGGTGCTGATGTGCACTATGTTTTGTTCGCCTTATCCAGCAGTAGGGTCTCCCTGGCAATGACTGTCAATATGTATTCGTATATAAACATTTCGTTAGGGATAGCAAATTACTCACTCTTCTGTACCCGAGTTCTCGAGGTTATCACTGTGCATCAAATATCAATCAGTCACTCAGTAAAACCAGAATCAGAACCTTGTATATGTGTAACGGTTCAACCAACTACACCACATTATTATAGCAAGACGAAATTATTAGAATCAATGTCAGTTGCGTGACACACAGTACCCATGCTCAAGCACCGACTACTGCTGCGCTCAATGCTGACTGGTGTTCGAGACGGTTGGAAGTAAGTTCGGTGCGGCCAAATCAAAATTTGGCATCAGTTCATAAAGTCACTAACTTCTGGTTTAAGCCATGTTGGTAGATGCAGACTACTTGGTTGGGGTCCGCGCGCCTATCGTAACGAGTGGTTGGAGACTCAGAATCGACTACAATGGCATAGGTTTATACACTTTGTCTTCCCTTAAATAGTGAAATTAAAATTACTTTATACCGTTCTACGATTTAACTCTTCGTGTATCATATCCTTATATGAAATTTTTTTACTATCGCCAAAGTAGCTGCTTCCACGGATTTGGCGTTAATGAATTAGGTGCTAATGAGGTGTGACAACATGAATCGATGCATTTATATGCCTGGTCCTATGTCCTGGATGACTGAACACTGATTTCAAATTAGCTACTACTAGTTCAGGAAGATATGTTTTTATTCTGAAGATATTTTTTGTTCATGTACTATGACAGTTGCAGTCTTGGTAAGTTATTGATAGTCGAGCTATGCGACTAATAATCTAAAAGCGTAGAATTGCTATCGATCCGAGTTATTTTACTGATGGAACGATGAAAAGTGAGATTTAAACTTACTTTTCAGATAGTCTTATTCTTTGCAAGATTTTTCAAATAAATGTTTATTTTCTAGTTTTTGAGTTAAAATCTTTTGGAACCAGTGTTTCCATGTGTTTTTGTCAAACCACCTACATGCAATTTGAAAACCGATTAGTAAACAACGAGACATTAGGTCCACAGAATCTTCTAAAATGTACTTAAACTTCCACATCTTGGAAGTTACACTTATCCATGCGCTGCAATAGCTCATTACATAAGAGAAATAACGCACCGAATATGTTTTAGGGTCTTCGGACTGACCCAGACAATGCTTAAGTAGTACCTGGCTCTCTAACATAAAAGTATGTTTTCTTAAACTTGTTTGCTAACTGTTTTGCATGTGAACCCATTTTGTCCTTTTTTATTTGTTTTTCCCATGTAGATTGTAAACGTTCTGAGAGTAACAAGTACCTTTTCATCACGTATCGGCCCCTTGTCGGTAGTTATTTGGTAAACTGCGTATTACGATTTTCCTGTATTCAACTTTTGGATGGTTAAAGACCGACTGCCTGAGCTTGAAGCTGTAGTCCTGTTACAATTTTTTTATTGTTTCTTGCGTTTATAGCGTATAAAGGTCAGAAATGGAAATGCCAGGAAGAAGGCAGAGTTTGACTTTTCTCAACTACATGCTGCTGTTTTCGATCAGGTAAATGTGTTTGTTGGTCTAATTATCAATAGGTCAATGAACTTCACTCTGATATTGATAATTTACGGCAAGATATTAATGCAGTTGACAGGCTACAAAAAGACATACTGGCTACACCTCAACAAGATCCAAGTAATGTTATTTATTCTTTTATGGTTTTAGAACTGGATAGTCAACTTAGTGAGCTCACCAATTCCATCCGAGAAAGGGCTCATAAAATTCGGAGTTCCTTGAAAGGTAAATTCCTTTTTCTTGACTAGGATCGTCTACAATTGTAGAATTAGGGCAACAGGAAGATGATAAACTTCTGTCAGGATTATCTGGTAAATGTCGTCTAAAGTCGTCTCAGGTTTTGGTTTTGGGATATCTTATGCTTTCACTTTAGCATGCTGCTATTTCCCGACAATTCGTCCACATTATGAACAATTATAGTCAACTACAAGTAGATTATCGTGACAAGTGTAAGGCTCGAATTCGAACCAAGCTCCGTATCGGTAAGTGTCATCTCCGTTTCCAAAAGAAGTTCAAATATTTTTCAGCTGAAGTCTCATTTTCGGAAGATGAGGTTGAAAAGATGTTAGAAAAAAACCATACGGGTATTTTTACACAGGCTGTAAGTTACTTGATTTTATAGGCTAAATTTTCTTGGTCGTCATTTCGAATACCGAAATTCTAAGCAGTTTTACAATAAATTTCTAAGTGTAGCTAAATGCAACGATGTGCGGCTTGTCTCGATAATGTCTTACCTTCAACCGACCACCTGTAATTCCATTTTTGTTCAATACTGTTAGTATAAATTACTAATTGGTTGTTTTGCTGACTTACCACGGTAGAATTACTCGTAGTATGAAGTTTTAGTATCATACTGTCTTGGAATAACAGGAACTCAATGTTTCATATATTTGAATGAAGACTGAGTATTGCATTTTAATAAACAACAACCTTAAATTTTATTGCAATGCGAAATAAGAATATCGTCACTCTTCAACCTAATGAAGACTCTAATGTTGTTATGATTGACAAACAAAGGTATGGAAGCAAATAAAATGGACGACACATATTGTTACTTGTAATAGTTATAAACACGTTCTTCGTATAGTGTTACTTACTTACTTACGCCTGTTACTCCCAATGGAGCATAGGCCGCCGACCAGCATTCTCCAACCCACTCTGTCCTGGGCCTTCTTTTCTAGTTCCATCCAATTATTGTTCGTTTTTCTCATGTCTATCTCCATTTCTCGGCGTAATGTGTTCTTTGGTCTTCCTCTTTTCCTTTGACCTTGAGGATTCCATGTGAGGACTTGTCTTGTGACGCAGTCGGGTGCTTTCCTCAATGTGTGTCCTATCCACATCCAGCGCTTCTTCCTGATTTCTTCCTCCGCTGGGATCTGGTTTGTTCTCTCCCACAGTACGTTGTTGCTAATAGTGTCCGGCCAATGGATCTGAAGTATTTTGCTTAGACAACTGTTAATAAACACCTGTATTTTCTGGATGATGGCTTTCGTAGTTCTCCAGGTTTCTGCCCCATACAGTAGAACTGTCTTGACATTTGTATTGAAAATCCTGACCTTGGTGTTGATTGATAGTTGCTTTGAGCTCCAGATGTTCTTCAGTTGTAAATATGCTGCTCTTGCTTTGCCGATCCGCACCTTCACATCTGCATCAGATCCACCCTGTTCATCAATGATGCTGCCCAAATATGTAAAGGTTTTTACATCTTCCAAATCTTCTCCGTCAATTGTGATTGGATTGGTGCATGCTGTGTTGTATCGGAGAATCCTGCTTTTCCCTTTGTGTATGTTGAGACCTACTGCTGCTGAGGCTGTTGCCACACTGTTTGTCTTCTCCTGCATCTGTTGTTGCGTTTGGGATAGAAGGGCCAGATCGTCTGCGAAGTCTAGATCATCCAACTGCATCTTAGATGTCCATTGTATCCCGTGCTTCCCTTCAGACGTTGACGTCTTCATGATCCAGTCGATCACCAGGAGAAAGAGAAAGGATGAGAGTAAGCAACCTTGCCTAACACCGGTCTTCACTTCGAACGACTTTGTCAACTGTCCTCCATGCACAATTTTGCAGTGTAATCCATCATATGAGTTCTGTATGATATTGACTATCTTCTGAGGCACGCCGTAGTGTCGAAGAAGTTTCCATAGTGTTGTTCTGTCCACGCTATCAAATGCCTTTTCGTAGTCAATGAAGTTGATGTAGAGTGATGAATTCCATTCAATTGATTGTTCCACAATGATCCGTAGAGTTGCGATTTGGTCTGTACACGATCTATCCTTACGGAATCCTGCCTGTTGGTCACGAAGTTGGGCGTCTACGCAGTCCTTCATCCTGTTTAACAATACCTGTTGAAGACTTTTCTCGGTATTGAGAGAAGAGTGATGCCCCTGTAGTTATCACACTTGCTGAGATTGCCTTTCTTCGGTATTTTGATTAGAAGTCCTTCTTTCCAGTCTGTTGGTACTTGTTCCTCATCCCAAATCTTATTGAAGAGAATGTGGAGTATCCTTGCAGTTGCCGCTACGTCTGCTTTTAGTGCCTCTGCTGAGATGTTGTCCGGTTCTGCTGCTTTGCCACTCTTGATTTGTCTGATGGCCATGCTGATTTCTCCAATTGTTGGTGGGCCAACATTGATTGGGAGGTCCGTGGGTGCTGCTTCGATGTTGGGTGGGTTCAGTGGCGCTGGTCGATTCAAGAGTTCTTTGAAGTGTTCTACCCACCTGTTTTGTTGCTCTTCAATGTGGGTGATTACCTTGCCTTCCTTGCTTTTCACTGGTCCTTCTGGTTTGCGGCGATTTCCAGAGAGTTTCTTTGTCGTGTCATACAATTGTCTCATGTTTCCTTCTCTTGCAGCCTTTTCCGCCGTCGTTGCTAAATCTTCCACATATTTACGTTTGTCGGTTCTGATGCTCCTCTTCACTTGTTTGTTTATTTCCGTGTATTCAGCTTGTGCCTTGGCTTTTTCTGCTCTTGTTCGGCTGGTATTGATCGCTGCCTTCTTGTTTCTTCTTTCTTGAATCTTATCCAGTGTATCAACAGTGATCCATTCCTTGTGATGGTGCTTCTTGTGACCCAGGAGCTCATGACATGTTGAAGTGATTGCCTCTTTGATCCCCTTCCAGTTGCTCTCCACAGTAGTTCCTTCTCCATTGAGTAGATCATGAAAGGCCTGGAACTTGTTGCTGAGGACTATCTTGAATTTGTTGAGTTTGTTAGTATCCTGAAGAAAGGCCGTATTGAACTTTTGTGATACTGTCTGCCCCGTTGTCCAGTGCTTCTTGAGATTCAATTTCATCTTGGCGACCAGTAAGTGATGATGTGATGCTATATCAGCTCCTCTCTTGGTTCTCACGTCCTCTATAGTCCTCCTGAAGGTTTTGTTGATGCAAATATGGTCGATTTGGTTTTGTGTAGAGTGATCCGGTGAAGTCCATGTGGTTTTGTGTATGCGTTTATGTGGGAATACGGTGCCGCCTATGACCAGCTTATTTAAGGCACATAGATTTGCAAATCTCTCACCATTTTCGTTTCTTTCTCCCAGTCCGTGTCGTCCCATGATGTCTTCATATCCAGTGTTGTCCGTTCCAACCTTGGCGTTGAAATCTCCCATCAGAATGGTCAGGTCCTTTGTTGGGCACTTCTCGATGATTGACTGCAGCCTATTGTAGAATTGATCTTTAGCGTCTTCATTGTAATCGTTGGTAGGCGCATAGCATTGAATGATGTTCATTGAAATGCCCTCTTTCTTTGTTTTGAAGGTAGCTTTCATGATCCTTGGTCCATGAGATTCCCATCCTATAAGTGCATTTTGTGCTTGTTTGGACAGCATCAATGCAACTCCTTGTGTATGTGGAGCATTTTCTTCTTCATGGCCGGAGTATAACAGGAGCTCTCCTGTAGTTAGTCGTTGTTGTTCAACTTGCGTCCAATGTGTTTCACTGATCCCAAGTACCTCTAGGTTGTATCTCCTCATTTCTGCAGCAATTTGGGAGGCTCTCGCGGTGTCCCACATTGTACGAACATTCCATGTACCTAAATAAATGGTCGCTCTGGTTGTCAGAAGGGGCATCGGCCTCGTAACTTCCGAAAGAATTCGGCTTTCATCATGAGGCGTCATAGATCTTCTAAATGAAGACCTTCTGACTCCCAGGGCAGAGTTTAAAAGGTTTGAATAATTTTTTCTGGTTAGCGTTTTGTTTAGCGAGTTAGTTTTCTACGGGATGGGGACGCTAACATCATGCCCAGCTCTCCTCCTTTATCCGGGCTTGGGACCGGCAGTAGCCCCTGGAGGGATTCCAGGCGGAGTTTTTCGTATAGTGACTTCTCCCGATAAACCTCACCCTGATATACAGCTTACAATGGAGTAGAAACATAATACTGGTATTCACTGCAATGCAAACTGCCAAACAGAAGTATCTGTTCATCGAAAGAGCACAGGTTAGGTTTTATATAGATTTTTAGGTTCCTGTGCAATAAGCGACAAAAGAGCTTTGGTTATCAAACTGTCCGACCACGTACTGAAACTATGTTCAGAGTTAAAAGTTGGAGAGGAATGAACGATAGTTTAAAGGTGTTTACAAGATAATGGTTATCTACAAAAGTTCGCCAGTAAGTGTGCGAAAGCAAAGGCCACAGGAATAGAATGTGCTTCAATAAAAAACCCAGTTTTTCAAAGAATTAACTCCAAAAATGATGAGGTGGTTGGTATGATTAATCGTAGACTATGTGTTGCTTTAATGGGGACATATCCAGTTGTTGAACTTGTCTCTTTGTATCAGACGAATTGCTCACTGAAGCAGACAATTCTCACTTCATGTTACCTCTCACTATTTATCAGATGCCGAAGGATTTACACTGAAAGGACAGAAAGTAAGGTTCTTGTTCGCATCTCAGAGCACATTCCATAATAATTGGGGCCAAAAGGCTAACGTGTTTCGATCTGTGCGGTTAACTGTCGTCTGTTTGATAGTAAACAGAACTTCGATATTTCAAAATCGTCCAAAATAAACATTTTTCAAACTGTTTTGAATTGGTCACATTTAACCGAAGTCGTTACAAGATAGTCGAAATAACCGATTTACCCAAAAGCTAGTCTCTTTGTATGGTAAAAATTATCTACTATTTTGACACTTGTTAATGTATAAATATTCGACTGTCGAAATGTTTTTAGATTCGTTCCATATTTATTTTGCTAATCTTCATTAATATGATATATGTACTTTAGTTTCAAACAGTTAATACCACTGTTTCTAGATTGTTGACAGTTGCACAGCAACCACAAAATAGCGTAGTTCGTTTTTTCTGCTAAGTTTGTTGTTTTTACTTTATTCAAATTTACAAATAGCAAAATAAATTACGTCGTTCAACAATAGTAGTATCTCAGTAGTTGTTCATTCTTAGTTGAAGCATAAGTACATTTAAATTTGACTTGTATTCTTTGTCCTATTGAGTTTCGAGTTTTGACTTAATTGTGCTCATGTATATTGTAACAGACTAATTGTTTTCTTAACCCTCAATTTGTGTAAATCACAACTGACCCATCAATCTGCATTATCTTGTCTCCTTATATTTGTTTTTAACCTCGTAAACTTTGGTAAATTTCTGAGCATTTTGATCATAAGTTTTCTTTATACGATGCCTCATAGATAGTTTTCTCAAATTAGATTATGGCTGAAACAGAAGCTGCGAAGCGATCATTATCGGATATCGAAGCTCGTCATGCAGACATTATACGGCTCGAAAAAAGTATCCAGGAGATGAAAGAGTTATTCTTCAATGTCGCTCTTCTAGTTGACCAACAAGTAATCTCTTTTAAATTTATACATGTTTTACTACAAATGCTTTATAATAACGATTGGCTGTACTTCTCATAATTTTTAGTTACACGTTTGATTTACGAATTCAGTATTATATTACTGTGTTCGCTTTCTGGGATCCATCGTTGTATCTCGAACAATAAGATAATTTACTTAAAAGCATCTAGTAGTCCCCTGAATAAATGTCGTTTGTAATATAACTTATAACTATAGACTAGTTTTCTGTTGTTTTTCTGACAATTTACTGGTATAACAATTTGAATCAGTACGTTTGAGTTACGATACTCTGTAAACGTCTAGTCGAAGTAGTAAAAGTAATGGTATAGAACTATAATATTTTTTAAAAAATGTTGAGTAATGAGACATTTACTAGTTTAGATGGATGTACACCTCTGATTAGATGTTAGTAGTATTAACTGAGTGCGGTTGGAAGAAAGTTAGGGGCGGCCAAACCAAAACGTGGCATCAGTGCCTGAAGTCACTAACTTCTAGTCTGAGCCATGTTGGTAGATGCAGACTACTTGGTTGGGGTCCGCGTGACTATCGTAACCAATGGTTGGAGACTCTTGGTGACATGGCTCAGAATCGATCACAATGGCGTCGGTGTATACACTCCCTGTCTTCCCTTAAACTAAGAGATTAAAATCACTTCATATCTTTCTTTCTACGAACTAATTCTTTCTTCCTATACTATATCCTTATTGCAACCTTTGACCTAACCACTCCTGTGAATCCGGTGTTCATCTTGCTGTGCTAATGAGGTATGGCAACCTGGACCGATGCACATATGTGCCTGGTCCTACGTTGTACCTGACTGACTGACTGACTGAGTATTAACTGAAATTTTTATGTTTTACTAAGTTTTCGAGAAAACTGAACACCTATAAATAGTTCGGATTAACAACAATTGATTTCATGGATGGATGCCATTTTGATCTGATTATCATCATCGTTTTCCAGTCGTCATTAGAACCACGAATCTTCTTAGGCATCCACTTAGGATTCGTAATAAAACCTAACCATTTCAGTCCCTGTAAGCTCAAAACCCTATGGAGTTGCTTAATCTCCCGATCTCTTCATTTCGTATCAGATGAATTAAGTTCTACACTCTGCCTTGTGATGTCTATTTTCTGAATAGTCTTGTTTGCTGATACGTTAGCATTAAAGCTTTGCTCCCATATATCTTGATACGATGAATCTCAAGTTTTACTACAAAATATAACATTTTAAAATTTTAACGCGGACTACCTTTGAAGCAATTATCCCCATTATTTTCTTGCTACTTTGTGCTCTTTATATTAGGGTGATTTAATCGACCAGGTTGAATACAATTTGAACAAGGCATCTGACTGTGTTGTAAATTCAAAGCGTACCCTTTCATCAGCCGTAATTAGAAATAAGAAAAATCGTCGCGTAAGTGGATATTTTCATTTACTTTTTTGCCGTGAAATTGTTGCTAGCTTCCCTTAGCTGTGTTTTCAGTAAACTGTTTGTCAGATTCTGCACTATTCCTCGCATTAACTTCAACAACTGGACCCTTGTGTATATGAATTGTGTAAATCATGGCCGTATACATGAATAATCTTACCTAATTACTGAGTTTTGATTGAAGAGTGTGCTATCCGGTTTGTTTTCGGTCGCTCTCAGTCTATAAAAAATATCTTTAATTATGTTTGTCATGAAATCGTTTCATTGTTCAGTGTAGTTTTATTTGTCTGTTACATTTTTAGAAGTAAAATTGATTGCATAGCAGATAAGAGATCAGTATTTAGGTGACTACTTTTAATCTGAGCGTCTGAATTCCAGTGATATGTATCAGTTTCAGATTTCTGAACACGCACTCCAGTTTGGGCTACCGATTTGTACTATTAGCCTTCACACGTAAAGTAAGACTTAGGTATATGTACTTATAATTGGCAAATGAGTTACATTCATTTATTATAGAGATATTGTTATTTCACTAAATATGTAGATAAGTAATTAAAATAGATCGAATTCTAGTTTACTGTGAATTCCTGGTTTAGTGCATTTTCCATTTTGGTACCGTTGGATTTGATTTAGTGTCTTCTATATTGCTTTTTTAACATCCGTATTAAGTACTGACAATACTGAAATTCTATCCATCTAATGTCAGACTAAATTTTATCAACATCATATTATGTATATTCTTGGAATGTTTAAATGTTTGCACCGCGCTCTAAACTTCATTTCGAAGCTCTCAATATTTGGACCTTATCTTCAGTCAGACAACAAATTTTTTTAGCTTATGACTCCAAGATCTCGTGGTGTCGATTCATGCTCTATCTCCGAAACACACATACAAGATCTGAGTTTGGTCATTCTCTTGACCTCACCTAGTTAATAAGCGGAGCCGGCTCGGTCTACCCTTCATTTATCTGGGTATTTGGCGCTACTCCTAGCTGCCTCACTATCGAAAATAAAGGTTTAAATTCAAAAGCGTAGTAGGCTCTGTGACGAGATTCCGGCACACAATCGCTTGTGCACTGTTCGATTAAACGGAACAGTAAGAATTAAAAAAAACAGGAACATAAGAAGTTCTCTCCTCACTGTATCTGACTTTGCTCTCACAAATTGTAGTTCGGATGAAGTAAAAGACAATATTTATAGAAGCTCTCCATCCTCTACAAAGTTAGATGTCTAAATGTAGTGGTGGTAACAGATGACTGTAATATGTAAATGAGTAGTCTGCAGAACGAATACGTCTGAGACGGATTTTGTGATGCATTATCCAAAGTCGTCAGTCATTAATTACGAGTATTAGGTAGGGTCTAGCATGGTAGCTTCCACAGATTAACTTGACTCAATCTAACGGTTTATGATCTTATAGACTAATCCTAACTATTGATTTGACCACTCTAACTTCCTTTGACTCCCTCCTACCCCATTAGACATTCCACATCTCTGTGGGAAATGGTCAGAGATGCATAACATATGTCCCAACTTCATTAGTCATGAAGATTCATACTCACCAATTGATTTATCATCGTTGTTTGATATCTCAGTTCTAACCTCACTATTGGTCACTCAGTCTTTGTACAATACGCTAGCAATGTTTCAAAGATGCCTCTTACCTAAAGTTCGTAACCCACGCCAGTTCTCTGCTTTCATGAACTATGTTTTACAGTCGTAAACTAATAGGAAGTGAAACGCTACACACTGTACTCGCCCTTCAGTCAGTCAGTTAACAACATAGAACTTTGTACGTACGTACATCAGTTCGAGTTGCCATACCACGTTAGCACAGAGATGCAGTTGTCGATTCAAGTCCCGTAGTGGTAGAGGTAGTACAAGTATAACCAGTAATCGGAAAGATTAGGGTTTGAAGTTATGATTCAAGTAGTATAATCCAGTGAAATAAATTTGGAAAGAGAAAGAAAAGGGACACAAAGAATTCAGGGGATTAAAATTTGGGAGAACACAAGGAGTTGATGCACCTGAGCCACTGCAAACGATTTTGAGCCATGTCATTCAAGGTCCCTAACCATCGGTTGCTATCATCTCGCGGTCCCCAACCAGGTAGTCTACACCTACCAACATGGCTCAGTCCACTTGTCAATGACTTCACGGTTTTGTGTCATGTTTTGATCTGGCCGCCCCTAGCTTTCTTCCATCCTACTCCTACACCATGAAACATCGTACGTCGAGGCAGTCGGTAGTTGGGCATACGTAACACGTGTCCTAGCCATCCCAACTGATGGAATTTCACTAGTTCATCAATTGATTTGCCATCCTTACCCAGTACCCGTTTCCTAACAACTGTGTTACTTACTCGATGGTCCCAGGATATACGAGCAATGTTTCGAAGACACCTATGCTGCGATCAAATTACAATAAATAACCATTTAAAGTCATCAAATAGGCAAGTATTAAAGATCATGCTGTTAGTTAACCTATTTAGGACAAAGATGGGACTATTATTCACTATCAGTTCAACTTGCCTCCAGCCACTCATTTGTTATCCACACCCTGAATTGGAAGTTGACATGAATTCCCTAGCTTTTAGCAAGTTTTAAAAGGCTGTAATTAATCTAAAGCCAGGGAAAGTAGCTTGTTCAGATGAACCAGCCCCAGAACTCTTTAAAATGGTGGTCCAAGTGTGGTAGTTAAATTGACTGAGAACTCAGCTAGAATCTGGGGTCTAGACGTAATCCTATATGACTGATTTGGATCTCTGATCGTCCCAGTTTATACGAAGTGACAAAAGTCCTTTTGTGACAATCACAGAGGAATCAATTTGGTTATTTAAAATACTAGATTCAGTAAGAATCGGATGCTTAATCAGGGCTCATAAAGAGCAGACCCGAAAAAACCAGGCTGGTTTCAAACCTGGAAGCGGATGTATCAACCAAATATTCGCCCTTCTCAGATTCTAGAAAATAGACGCACTTTTCGACCACAATTATATTCCTCACTGGAGAATATTTTTAGGTTTCTAGTTTTATATTATACATGTTCTTACTTGTGTGCGTTGTTATCACTGAGTGAGGAATGTTGAAGCCATAGTTGACCAGGTAGTAGTAGTGGATTCTAATTGATTGAAATAGTTGGGATATGTATTATGTACGCTCAGTAGCTGTTTACCTCAATACACAATGGGGGTTGACGTGGTATTAAGTTAGAAGAAAATTAGGGGCGGCCAAACCAAAACATAGTATCAGTTTATTAAAATGCTGACTGTTGAACTGATTCATTTAGGTAGGTGCAGATTACCGATTTGGAGTCCACGCGATTATCGCAGCTACTGTCTGGAAACATAAAATGACGTTTATTCTTCATCTATTTAAACATGTAAACATTGGTTCAAAGGGGCACCATGATATATATATGGGCCACACAAATCGCTTGAACCAATGTATATGTGAGTTATTGATCTCGTTTACATTGTTAATCGTAGTGTAATAGATCTGGAATGCTTTACACATACGTTTGATAGTATAGTGGTTTGTTTACGATTTAAAAAGATTTATCTTACTCATTTATTGTATGTAGTACACATGTGTTGAAGAAATTAAAGTAAGCCTTATTTATCATATACCTTGGATTTGAACTCTGTGAAATGGTTTCTTGCTTGTTTATCGCATCGGGTTTTTGGGAAACAACGGAATGAACCGTAGGTTATAAGAATGACCTCTATAAAACACAAATACTTGTAATGCAAGGTAGCTACTGTATTGTATATGTTGTCTGTTTCTTATTGTTGTTCGTTTTTACTGTGCCTTTGTTGATGTTATTGTTGTTGTTATTTTTCTTCAATATATTTTTCTCTTTGTCACACTGCAATTTATGTGGATCACTAAATATCAATCAACTAATTACTGGTTTAGTGCAAAATAATCTGTATTATATTGGTTGTTGTTATCTCCATATTGATCCTGATCTCATTAGCTTCCGCAATCGGTTTAACACGATGATCAACAGTTTATTTAGTATATAAGGATGAAGTTTGAAAACAACGAATTTCAGTTTGCCAAATTTTATCGTTATACTCTCAATTCAAATCAGTCGAGGATTATTTACAATAATAATATACATGATGCGTGCGTATACAAACACATCTCATTTACTCCTATCTTGTTTATTGTGTACAGAAAAGATTGGAAAATGATGCGCCAAACCAATCGTTCTTTTAATTTTTACTCACTTGAGATACTTGCTTTTTTGTACAAAACCAATTACGATAATCGCATTGATTATCACAATAAATCCTTTTATCATTATCATTTTTATTGTAGCTATCTTTTATGTTCCTAATTACTTCATTTTTCAAGCGTATCAATAAAAAATATATATACTCCCGCCAAATCTTTATTGATTGCTCGTTTTGCACGAGGTAATTTCTTTTATTTTCTATAGTGTATCAGTAGAAAGTTGTTTCCCAGACAGTATATGACTAAAGTACTTTCTATTAATCAGTTGATAAATTCTGTTTACCTTTTAACAGCGGTGTTTATCAAACTTTTTATCAGTCGAATAGTAACTTGAAATAAGTTGTATAAGGAATTTTCAAGTTAGTTACCTAAGATTGTTGAGTCCCATGCAAGCTGATAAATTTCAGCCAGTATTCATTGTTTTTGGATTTTGATGAAGTTTGTGCTTCCAGGTCTCTTAGCACTTCTGTGATGGTAAAACGCGGAGAAAATCGATGTCGAAAAAATACTCACCCTACTATATGATCTGACATCTGACAGGATATCAAAATCGGAGAATATGGTTATAAACTAGTTTTGCAAAGTACACCTATGGCGCAGTCATGATTGGAAAAGACGTTAAAACTAAGTTCTTTAGTGTTTAATTGACAATATAAAAGTTTTTCGATTCGTCTCTTTACCTTTAATTTGTTTTTGGTCTGTAACTAACCATTTTGATCTTTGAGGTTGATTTCGATGTCTACGTTATCGACCTTGGAACCCTTAGAAACTGATGGGTTTGTGACTAGCGAAATATCGGCACTGACACTAAAAAGCTGACTTAACTTCAGTTGATTTGTGGGAGAATCACTAAGTCCTTCATTGTTAACCCAAAATATTTAGTAATTAGTCGACTTTACATGTGATTGAATTTTGAACTTTAGTCAAATATTTTATTACCTGGAATGGTCTAACGAACTCTTGATCTGTTGGGAACCCAACACACACAAGCATGCCTTTTAACATCCTAGCCGGTGAAATAGACATATATAAGATAGCGTGAGTAGGCTGATAGAAATAACAATTTGCTACTAAATCCGAAATATTACAGCATTTATTGAAAGTAGGTTATTCGTCATACGTCTAGAAAAGTACGCTTTTGATTATTCGTAAAGCAAAGGGATAGAGTGTAGTATGCACCCTTTTAATAGTAGCGCCCTTTTGGACGAACACCATATACATATTGAGCAGATAATTTATCATTCAATATTTCTAGTCAAAACTCTCAACTAAAACTTTAAACGGAATTAATCTATGGTAAAATATTCTGTATCTCATCTGATGATTCTAAATATTTGGTAAGTAGCTGACTTGTATACTTTAGTCGATGCTCGTACGCTAAAATTTCATCATACAATGATAGATTTTTCTCAGTATTTCTGACTATTGATTGCACTTATTGTCAAGCATGTAAAACGTTTCTAACATTGTATATACCCAGATTCGAAAATTTCACTCGAGTTCTTATCTGCGTATATAGAATGAGTGTCATGTAGCTTAAGGCCAAATTCTCAAACTAAAGCGCTAACACCCAGTATACTACTGTCATTTACTTGAGTTGTTTATAGATAAAACTTGAGTTCTTTGCCGTTAGATTTCTTCGTTTCAATAACATAAAGTGTAAAGATTCTAAGATTTTCTAGTTCTGTGATTACAAAATGAGTTAAAATTACTTACATAAAAGAGTTTAGTTGCAAGTTCTTTAACATCATTGTGTTTTTTATTTCAACTATCTTACGGATTAGTAATCTTATTAACTGGGCAACAAACTCAAGGTCCGAAGGCGAAGTCGTACTGCTGACTGTACAGAGGTGTGACGGCAGTAAGGTGTTTCCTTCAGACAACCAGCATGACAGTGATACTGCCTTCCCACAAGGAGGGGTGGGGTTAGAAAAGGTCGATCCTAAAAATGCACACCTCGCCTTATCCCACGGATATCCGTCTGGCTGTTTTACCTCTTGTTACAATCAATGTTGTAGAATGTTCTTTTACATAAGGCATATATTCATGATATTCAGTCTATTAAATTTACTATGCTGATGTGTCTTCAAAATAACGTACAATTAAACTTTCATGTATGTCATTTTAACCTTTTTTGTAATTATGTTTTTAAATATCACATTTTGTAAGCACCTGACGAGAACCAAACGAAATAAAGTGAATTCATGATGTCCTGCTAGAATCTTTGTTCTTGCTCTCTTCGAATTTTATTCCAATCTATTCCTTAAACACAAGAATATGCAGGTAGGCCTTAATTAGCTTGGTTACTTGGGCCTTTAGCTTTTAAAGTCTTGGCATCATAGGTAGGTCGTTCCCTTTTCATATTCGTTTTTTGTCACTATGATACCTCATACCTTTGTGGGAAGGTTTAGATACTTTTGTCAAAATGTTTCTTGAGACGCAAGAGTAATTCATCTATATTGATCATTCTAAGCAAAACAGTTTTAGTAATGTTCGTAATGTGAATTATCCCATGATGCATACAATAAGTATCCGTAAAATCAACGATCTAGATTTTGTTTATATAATTAACCTTGCTTTCCCATACAATTAGAATATTTCATGTAATATCTGTTATATCCTAGTGACGATTAAATTATAGATAAATTCCGAAAACTATTAATGAACTAATATTATATATATTCTTATTGTATAACTGTTCAGTAACTAGATTATGTAATATTTATATTTCTCTTATTATAAGCTCCATTTTGAACTATAGATTATTATTACTATACGATTTACTATTCTTAATTTATGTTCAGTTTATTAATTAAAGTCTCCCACGTTCACAGCTACTTTTTGGCTTGATCTTGTATGAATGTTATTTCATGGTTGATGGTATGATGCGGTCTTTTTCGCTGGTATATAAACCAAGTATGTTTGAAATGAATGATCGATGTAGTGGAAGTTGTTATTGGTGTTTTGGACTCAAATGGACGGGCTAGGCGAACAAAGAACCAATAAGGACACTAGGATGCTCATACGGGCCGAACGTCATTGGTTTAGCACAGTACTAATGTTGAATAAGTTGTATTTCGATTGGCGAATAAATTACGTGATAACTATCCAGCTTTGAAGTCACAACAATGTCTTTAGTAGGTCAAAAGTCAACGCATTTATACCATAAAAGTTGTATATTTTACATCTGAACTGGTAACTCATTTTATTGTTAATTACTGATTGGTTGTTAGATCTTTAAGTTTTTCTTTTTGAACGATTTATTTTCATTGTTGTTACTTTAGTCCCAAGACCTTTCTATCCGTAATGCATAGGAAGATTTTCTTCCCAGACAATCATGCACAATGTCAGCCATTCGTACAATTTGATCATTGATTTACATGAGTACTGTTTTAATTGTTCACTTGAAATTTCTAAATGAAACGTTTAATTTTTAGTTTAGAATAAAACAAAACTTGTAAAAGCTTTCAGCGTTTTCATTCTATATGAAAACAATCTACTGTATTTCTTTAGCTGATTAAATTAAAGGCAAATTACTTAGACATTCCTAAGAAAATTAATGTGCTTGTAAAATATTTGTATGTTCCGTCAATGTGAAGTTATTATTTATAATCTGCAGAAATAGCTTTCTTGGAAAGTTGCGGAATACTAGATACATACTTATTTACTTCAATGGAAATTTATATCTGTATGATTCTTTTATATAATGATATTTTAACGGTGGGGACTTGAAAAAAAAGAATACTAAACTCATTTTTCTACTGGGATTAAGATATTTCACAGATTAATGTCCTCTTACTAAAATACAAACCAAGTGGTAATATATTAGAGTGGTAACAACAATTCATACAATAAATCAGAACTATATAAATAGTGCTAAATTAAGTGTCGCTACACATTATGACTTATTTTGTGTGATTATTTGTGTAATTGGGTCGGTATTATTGTAAATTATATAATATGGTTAAATATGTTTCACAGATTTTTACCCAGAGCAAGATCAACAAGGTTCGCAGAATAAAGTGAATCCATCATATTTCACGATTTCTTATCAGCTGCATGCAACTCAAAATTACAATTCTTAACATATGATTATCAGTATGAGGATTTATGAAGATCGCCATATTTTCAAGTTGAATTCACGAGTCGATCTAAGCTAGACCACCATTGATGACCTGAGAACACTGAATGGCCGTTTCTAGTATGGGACTCCTCAGTAGTGCACATCTACGATCGTACACGTCAAACTTGAATCCAGGACCTTTGGTCTTGAGCGTGGACGCTTAACCTCTAGATCAATGAGCTGGCATCCAACGGTGTTGATGTCTAATTTCAATCGATCCATGATCATACACAACCCTTCATTCATTGTCTGAGGTGGACAACTGTCTCACATTCGACACGGATTGGACTTCACTGCACTGGTTACCAAGTCCCATACCAGGACAAAACGGTCGTCCAGTGCTACCAGGGGAATTCAATCCGTGTCGACAGTTATCCACATTATTTATTTAATATTATTTCAACACAAACATAGGCACAAGAAGGCAACAGATAGATATGCGCCACATAAATCATTCGATTTGTGTGAGGGCTAGGATACTGCCCGAGTGCCCAAACGGTCAAGGTTAAGCGTTCACGCTCAAGACCAAAGGTCCTGGATTCAAGTTTGACGTGTAGGACCGTAGATGTGCACTACTGAGGAGTCCCATACTAGAAACGGCCATCCAGTGTTCTCAGGTCTTCAATGGTGGTCTAGCTTA